ATTGTAAAGGCGGCTCGCCTTGAAAAATTAAATATGCATTACTGAAAAATTAAAGATGCATTGTAAGACCATGTTATGGTCACTTTGAAAAAATAAATATGCATTGCAAGACCCATGTTACGGTCATTTTGAAAAATAAACTTGCATTGCGGGACCAATTTTGTTGTCATTTTGAAAAATAAACGTGCAATGGATGGCCATGTTGTAAAGATGGCCTCGCCTTGAAAAAGTAAACATGCATTGCGTGGCTACGCTGTAAAGGCGGCCTATCTTGAAAAATTAAATATGCGAGTGGGTGACTATGTTGTAAAGGCGACCTACCTTGGAAAAGTAAAAATGCGATGCATGACCATGTTATAAAGGTCGCCTCCCTTGGAAAATTAAACATACGAGTGCGTGACCATGTTATAAAGGCGATCTACCTTGAAAAAGTAAACGTGCGAGTGCATGACCATATTGTAAAGGCAACTCGCCTTGAAAAAAGTAAAGATGCGAGTGCGTGGTCATATTGTTAAGGCGACCTACCTTGGAAAAAGTAAACATGTAATGCGTGACCATGTTGTAAAGGCGAGTCGCCTTAGAAAAGTAAACGTATAGTGCGTGGCCATGTTGTGAAAGTGCCTTTCTTGGAAAAATAAACGTATAGTGCGTGGCCATGTAACGTGCAATATAAGAGACTTAACTATGCAATACCGTGACAAATTAAATATGCAATACATGGTCAACTTGGAGGACGGCCAACCCTAAAAAAATTAAATATGCAGTACACAGATCAACACGAAGGGTGGCCAACCCCGAAAAATTAAATATGCATTACACGATCAACTTGGAGGGAGACCAATCTCGAAAAATTAAATATGCATTACATGGTCAACTTGAAGGACGACCACCTATAAAAATTTAATATGCAATATGCGACCAACTTAGAAGGCGACCGACCTTGAAAAATTAAACATGCGAGTACACGACCAACTTGGAGGGCGACCAAACTCGAAAATTAAATATGTATTACGAGGTCAACTTGGAAGGCGGTCAACCCCGAAAATTAAATATGTATTACGGGGTCAAGTTGGAGGGCGACCAACCTTGAAAAATTAAATATACAATATGTAGCTAACTTGTAGGGCGGCCAACCCTAAAAATTAAATATACATTACATGGTCAACTTGAAGGGCGACCAACCCCGGAAAATTAAATATGCAATGATCACTAGACAACTTTGCCTAAAACGATGAAGACATTAGGCAACCCTACTTGAATGATGAACTAAAATTAGGCAATCTTGCCCGAAAAGAGATTGTTAGGTAACTCTACCTAAATGATGAACTAAAATTAGACAACCTTGCTCGAAAAAAATCGCTAGGTAACCCTACCTAAACGATTGACTAAATAGGCAACCCCGTCTAAAAAATGAAAAGATCATTAGGCGATCCCGCCTAAATGCTAAATTGAATAGGCAACCTTGCTCGAAAATGAAAAGATCATTAGGTAACCCTACCTAAGCGATGAATTAAATTAGGCAACTCTGCTAGAAAAAAGAGAGTGATCGTTAGACAACCTTGTCTAGGATAATGAACTAAATTAGGCAACTTTGTTTGGAAAGATTTGGCAACCACAAACAAACTAAATCCATTGGACTAAGGCCAATCAACCAAAAAAAAATAATAAAACCAACCAATCTAACGTAACAAACACAAAAAAAAAGCCACCACACAGAAGAGCCAGCCAAAAATAAAATTGAAAAGATTTGGCAAACATGAATAAAGAAAACCCAAAGACCCATCAACACAAAAACCTAGCTGATCTTAACCCATCAAGCAAAAAGATAAGTCACCGCACAAAAGAGCCAGCTGAAAACAAAGCTCACAATAAGCAATAATTCTCAGGTCCCTCCTCCAGTAACTTCCGTGACTAGTAAAGAAAAGAAAGGAATGACAAATTGAAGACAAATGCATTAAATGCTATATCAAGGAACGAAAGAAAATGAACAAAAAGGTTGAGAAGTTGCGAAGAGTAGATTAAAAATCAATAAAAACACTGCCGGCCGGTACATTAAAAAAGAGAATCTTTCATGCAATATTGATATTTCGACATTTTTGGTAGCTTCCTCTATCATGCCCCACTGCCGGCCGGTACATGTGACTATTATTAATTATTTAATGGAGCAGCTTAGTTTTGAGTAATTTGTTGTTAGAATTTGTCCGCTACTTTCAGTCTCTAACTAAAGAAACAATTGGAGGGACCCATGTTGAATTTAGGTATATATTTTATTATCAACAGTTTAGGTATGAAGAACCCATGTTGAATTTACTTATTCAATTCATAAAGTTACTTCCAACTCATCCATTAATTTACAAATGCAGAACATATGCATGTCGTTTGGGATTAGACAGCGATAGGAGAGCCATGGAGAATATTGAGTTGAGCAAGATCCTAATATTTGGGGGAACTGGCTACATAGGCAAGTACATGGTGAAAGCAAGTGTCTTGTTGGGTCACAAAACTTACGTCTATGCTCGTCCAATCACCCCACAATCTTCTTCCTCCAAAATAGACATCCATCAACAATTTCAATCCATGGGTGTCACCATAGTCGATGTAAGCAGTTTAAATTTTCTCATGATCCCTTCCCTTTGAGCAATCTAAAAGGAAAGATAGCAGCTAGCCATTTTATCACTCATTAATGAATATATCTTGATTTTTGTTTGTTGCAATGTAACAGGGTGAATTGGACGAACACGATAAACTTGTATCACTACTTCACCGTGTGGATGTAGTGATCTCAACGTTACCTTACCCTCAGGTTCTTGCTCAACTAAAAATCATAGATGCCATGAAAGTCTCTGGTGATATAAAGGTATCTATTTCTTTTTCATCTATGTAAAATCTCAACGTGCATGACCTTTTTTGTTTCAAACTTCCCAAAATTTGTAGTGGTTCTAATAATTTTGTTTGTGGCAAGTAATTAATTTGTTAACAATTTGCTAACTTCAACCGAATGCTAACTTTGTGTTCTAACTAAAATACGAAGAGTACCGTATCTTTAAAATTTGTATTAAAATTTTTGTTTCAAACAGCGGTACTTTTGTAGTATTTGATAGTTTTTTGCATGTGATTTGTTGAAAAAAAAAAAACACCAGAGGTTCATTCCGTCAGATTTTGGAATCGAAGAGGATAGGGTTTCTCCATTACCTCCATTTCAAGCTTTTCTTGACAAGAAGAGAAAGGTAAGAAGGGCCATAGAAGCAGCTGGGATACCCTACACTTTTGTGTCTGCCAATTGTTTGGCTGCCTACTTTGTCAATATCTTACTTCGCCCCCGTGAGCAGCCGCGTGATGTAACTGTTTATGGCAGCGGAGATGTTAAGAGTAAGTAATATTTCGCGACACTTTTTATAATTGTTTTTTTCCTTTTTTTCCATTAATTAATGATAAACACCTCAAAACGAACATGGACTACGAGACAAAATCTCCGAGATCCACCATACATGGGAGACAAAACAGGCTCATCCCATGAGCACAACAATTCATGAATAAAAAAACATATCAAACACTAAGTTCCATGCACTAATTAGTCCGTTTGGTTTATAGAATAACTAATTATTTAGTACATTTGATTTATAGAATTATTAGTTGACTGTTCATGCTACACTACAGATATTAAAATATTTCAAAATAATAATAATAATAATTAAGAAAAAAATTTAATCAAAATTTTATAGTTAATTAATTCTTCCTTATGTTGTTTAATAAAAGTTTTTCTTAAAAAAAAATGATTTGTTTTTCTTTATGCATGAGTTCTTAAAAGAAATTTTGAAATAATCTAAAAAGCAAGTTTATTTAATTGGAAATCCAAAAAAAAAAAAACATGGGTACATTCTAATTATTTTTTTATAAGATTACTTCAAAAAAATAAAATAATAATTAATGTAAAAATGGCATAAAATAAAATTTTATCTTTATTGAATATATATATATATATATATATATATATATATATATATATATATATATATATATATATTAGGTTTACATTCAGGGACCAAAATATAATATAAAAGAAAATAGAACTGAAACGAAAAAATTTTAAAACATCAAGGATGAAAGTGTAATATTTGTCAAAATTTCTCATCAATCGCTGAATAAAGAAGAAAAATCACAATAATACCGTCATAAATATATAAACAAATGACAAAAATTACAATAATGCCAAGTAAATATTGATGAGAAGATAAAAAATAATTAATGAAAAATTGCATAAAAATTAAAAATAAATTTTTATCCTTATTGAATATCAATGAGAAGATTAATTTTTAAAATTATGTATATTAAATTTATATTTAGGGATCAAACTACAATATAAATGAAACTAAAACTAAAAAAAATGATATCAAAAGTTAAAATTCAGAATAATTTCATTACAAATTCATGAATAAAAACAAGAATTATAACAATACTATCACAAATGAATGAAAAAAAAAATTACAATAACATCAAATGAATAGTACATATGAGAAAAGTACATCAATGTCAAGTAAATAATCTACATGAATGGTAAGTGAATAGCAAACACTCTATTTTTCTTTTCTCTTTTTTTTAAGGTTTTCTTATTAATTTTCCAACTTCAAGGTAGACAATTTTAAAATTCACAAATATTCGGTTTGGCATTATTTAATATTCTCCTTTCTATATACAGTTATACCAATAAAAAAAACAAAGGAATCGTTTTGGATTATTTTTTGTTTTAGTTTTTAAATTTTTAAAAACATAAACTGAGAAAATTTATTTGTTTTAAATTTTTTTCCAAAGAAAATCAAAACCAACAACCAACAGCTATTACAATTTTTTTTTAAATCATCTTGTTTGGTTTTTGAGAAATTTTGACAACCAAAAACAGAAAAGATATATACCAAACAATTCCTGAGATGCTATGTTTTCTACTACTAATTATTCTAATGTGATACCGATCAGCGGTCCTAAACTATGAAGAGGATGTTGCCATGTTTACCATCAAGCTAGCGGATGATCCAAGAACATGTAATCGAGTTGTAACTTCTCGGCCACAGAAAAACATTGTGTCCCAGCTTGAACTAATTTCTCTCTGGGAGAAGAAGACGGCTCAGACTTTCAATAGGATTCATCTCTCTGGGGAAGAACTTGTGAAGCTTTCTGAGAGTAAGAATTTTTCAGGACATTATTTTTTTTTTTTTAAACTGAGGCATGACCATTTTTAACCATCCAACTTTTAATTATATACTTCTTAAATTAGGAAGATAATATAATTTAAATAGTTAAATCTACGAATATATATTAGGTAGTTAATATTAAGAATATAAAGTAATAAGTATGGTTAATTATCTTATTATTTTTAATAAAATATTTCAAAATTATTTATAAAAAAAATTATTTAAACCTACATCAATTAAATTGATAAATTATTGAGCACAAATTCTTAGTTGTGATTAATGGTCTATAAAATTAATTTATAACTATCATTAATTCACTTTTTTTTTTTAATTTTAGTCTTTTGATATCTAGTATAATTATAACTTAAACCACAAAACAAGTAATCCGTTTGTAAATAAGCGTCGACTTTTAGATCGGGTTCAAGATTCAATCCTTATGATTAGCACTTCTGAGAATTTAGTTTCAGAAGTGCATTGAGGAGTGCTCCTTATATATATATATAAACAAACTTATGAGGAGATGTGTTTCATTAAAATATATATATATATATACTATGTATCATAAATCTTTAGAAATATTGAGATCACTTGAAACAAGAGCCAAACTTGGCATTATATATAAGGACCCAAAAACAGGATAAAATGTACGTGAAATATTTTTGTGAAATACTCTTTATATTTGGTTAAATATTTAACTTTTTTGTTGTTACCAATATTGCTGCAGCCTTACCACCTCCAGACAATATTCCAGTGTCAATCCTTCACAGTGTGTTCATAAAGGGTGATATGACTGGCTACGAACTGGGTGAGGATGACTTGGAGGCTTCACAGTTATATCCAGACTACGAGTACACTACAATTGATAAACTTCTTGATATTTTTCTCATTGATCCTCCAAAGCCAGCAATGGGAGCATTTGAATAAGCTCTCAAATGTCTTTCTAGTTGTTGATTCTTTAGAATCTGCACTACCAAATGTTTGAAAATAAAGTCAATGAATAACTGATGTTTGTGTCTGCTTGCTTGGTGGATTGCCTACATTTGGAAGCTCCATTCATCTAGTGGCAAAAGCAAGACCAAATGTTCACGATGATCAAAATAAATTTTATAAATTTATTATGTTTTACACAATCTTATATTTTTATTCTTTCAAATCACGAAAATCATCTATAATAGAGATTTTTATTTTTTCAAATCACGAAAATCATCTATAAAAGAATTCATACTAAAATTTTGAACAATTACTTTTTTAATATATTTTAAAATAGTCGCTTTAGTAATATAAAACCTATAAAATATAAACAAAAAAATCATTATTATAAACAAATAAACAATTGAGAATATAGTATATTAATCTAGATTAGAGAAAATATTTGCTGTGTTGTCGAAAAGAAAAATCCATATCAGAGAAAAAGTTTTTTTTTTTTTTAATGTTTTGAATAGAGTTAGAATTAAGAGTATATTGTGAAGTATTGCCACTGTTCAAAAACCCCATGCGTATTAGTTTATTAGTAAATGTGAATGCTGCAACATCCAAAGGTGCCAATATATATATATATATATATATATATATATACACACACAATTAAGGAAAACAACCTTTATATATACATATATTTGATTGCAGGAGCCTCTAATAGATTCCATCAACATTGTACAATATATTTAACATCCCAGTACAGTTCTTCCATAAGCAGCATTCATGCTAAATCCACAAAATAAAAAGGCTAAAACAGAGAACTTCCCCTAAAAAACTATATAGCTATACTGATCAGATGATATATTAGCCATCGTTACTCTCTTCGCTGGTACCCAACCAACAGGCAAATGCAAATCAATCAGACACATAATGACTTGGTGTCCATGAGAGAAGGCTGTTTACATGAGGAAGGTATGAGCCAAATGATGGGATGCACTCCTTGTCCATCTCAAACTTTCTCATCGCTTCGGATTTAAAGTCATAAGCATGGAATGAGCCATCTTCCTTCCTCCTGAAAATTACATCTCCACTGATTCTTAAACTAAAAAGTGGAACCATGTCAATCAAGCTACCTTTAGTGATGCTATATTGCTTTGTCCAGATACCTTCATGCACAGTCTTCAAGTTCCAAATATCAATGTTCAAATCTTCATGAGTGACAAAACATAAGAGACCACCCATCTCCATAATCCTGTCATGAGCAGTACAACTCTGGGGTAGCGGTATAATATGAAATTTTTCGTTCTCCACTTCCATTGACACTATGTAGTCACTATTATCATAATTTGGAATCCAATGCAAAGCTCCAATTGCAGAAACAGGTGCATGCCCAAACCAATTAAAAAGTCCGAAAGAAGGTCCATTCACTGCCCTCCATGATCTTGTCGCAAGATCTAGTGTCTCACAAGTGACATACTCAAACTCATCCCGAAACAGGTGCACCACCTTATAGTCTCTGGTGACATGGTTCAATGCAAATCCATAGGACTCCTTATGATAATTACACAAAGTACCCAGAGGAAGTGTAATGAGCTTCCGTGTCACAGGATTCATGACTATCAGTCCTTTCTTCACACGGTTATCAAGCAAAATTAGGCCATTGCATGTCGCTCTAATGTTGCCCAGGCAGCTAACATTATACTTTCCTACCGTGATCTTTCCCTCTTTAAATTCCATGAACTGGATAAGGAATTTTGATGAGTTGCCAGCGATATGGGGGCCAAAAATGGGGACAGATTTTGAGTTTGCTTGAATCAAAGTTACTTCAACTGAGAAGGTATTTCCTTGCTCCTCTGGCATTGATGTCATAGAAAAAGGGAATGGTATTGAATAAGGATATGATCTTTCTCTTGAAACTGATTTTAGAAAGATCAAAACAGATTCAGAACGACGGAAATGTGAATCAATGAAAGTTCGGCTGTTAATTATATTGTACCATGGCTTACACACAAATCTTGAATTTTGAAGTGATTCAAGAGGAAGCCAGATAAGGATATTCGACATGCAATCCTTATGAAAATAAGGTGCTGGGCCAACTGGATGCTTCTTTTGATCATCCTCCATCTTCTTGGACAACGCTCTCTCTTCTACAGATTTTAATAACCCCATGTTCTTGTTTCCCACTGGTTTGGCCATTCTGCCTTCTTGATACTTAATGAAGCACCGACAAAAAATAGTGATGTCAGAAAACTTACTGCAAGTGATTGTTTCAACAGGGAGACACAAAAGCATGCACAGACATCTACACACATGTAACTAGCAAGTAATTCAAAGGATTGATGAGTTAGGGAAGTTTATAAGCTCACATGACCAGGTAAAAAAAAAAATTAGAATTGATTAGGAAAATCCTAAAATTACAACAAATAACTTTTTAGTTCTCTTAGTGAAAGTTGTCCAATGGAGTTGAACTTAGTCAGTATCAACAGGCATGAGTTTCAATCATGTAACAAATGATTTTACAGGTTCAAGAATGACAATGAGCAGAAAACAAATACTGTCCTTACTGTCTCAATTTATTAGCCCTGCAACCAAAAAATGCAACATGACGGATTCATTCACAAAGTAGCAAATTCAATCATTATTCTAAGCATGAAGTAATTAAACAGATTCGTAAAATGTAAAACTTCAAAGAAATTCCAACTTGAGAAATGGGATCATCCTTAGAATATATGTATGTAGCATGAGAAGATACAAGTATATATAGAAGATTGAACCAACAACAAAATGTTTCAAGAACAAATACCACTAAAACATGTTACGATAGCGAGAAAGTTAATCAATCATCACATAACTTACGTACGAATGCAATTGCTTCGCGAAATACCAAGTGATTAGATCAAATATTACGCACACCGGAGATGAAAGGGATTGAAGGAGCACAAAAAGTTATTCCTCTCGAGTGGCTTAAATCCCCAATAGCACTCCAAAAAAAAAAAAAAATTGACACATAGATTATTATTTGCTTGAAGGAATTGCTTTTAAAAAGGAGTAAAGAGAAGTTTTCTTTTGTCCACATAACAAGATGATCGGTAGATATGGTAAATCAATATCAACCCTTGGAAATCACTACAAGAACAAAAAGATACCCAATCAACAAAATCAACACACACATAAAGTCTGTCAAATTTAGCATTGACCCATCTTCCAATATTGAACGATTAAACAGAAAAATCAATACTTTCTAATAATCAAACAAGGTACAATCACTAATAAATTCATAGTGATGAATCGTTCAATAAAGGAAATAAAAAAAAAAAAAATCCGTTTTCCAAGAGAAAGAAATTGAAAACAAAAGAGCCCAATTCATATTTCAACGAAATAGAGAGAAACAATACATAATACCTTGTTATGAAGAGGAGGAGTTTGTGTTGGCAGTCCAGTGAGTGGACTCTCAGTCTCCTCTGCTTTTCTCTTCATTCAGCAGAGAGGAAAGCTGAATGACAAAAACGTTTCGTAGCTTCCAAGGTGAGGGAGAAAAAACAAGACAGGTTGACTTGAAAGTCTTGAGTCCCACTCACTCGGTCACTCCATCAATATTTTATAAGGCGATTAATTAATAAATTTGAACTGTCAATCCTCTGAAACATAACGAACGAAGGAAAAAAAGAAGGTAATTGGTTTTTTTTTTAATAGATTATAAATTAATCTCTCTCTTTTTTAAAATAAATTAATTAGTTTTTTTATTTTAAAAATTAATTATTTAATTCTTATATTTTAAAATTTAGTTCTTTATTTTTTTAATTTATTTTGATTTTTTGTTTTAAGAAATAAAAAAATATAAAAAATATGAAAAGATCGATGAGAAAATAAACAATTTTATAAAATAAAAATAATATTAAATTAAATATAATTAACAATGATTAAATAACTAAATAATAATTTTTAAAATAATAGGGACTAATTAATTTATTTCTAAAACTAGAGACCCTAATTTATAATTAACTCATTTATTTATTTATTTATTTATTAAGAAACAGTGGTTGTACCTGAAAATTTGTATTAGATGAAAATCAATACACAACAGAGGCGTTCCAGCCTGACTCATAAATCGAGGGGACAATAAGGCTTAACTCCAAAAAAATACATAGATGATACTGTTTTCTATAGCTATTAAATTAATCACAAGTACAAATATTCCAAATATCTATAGGTAATTTCTTATACAGCATACAAATAATTTTATTATATTTGTTCATTGATTATAAAGTATTCTGAATTATTAAGCAAATGATTTCTAACTTTTCTAGGGTCTATAATTAAATTTTTTCATCGTATCGATCAATTTCAAATAACATTAAAAACACGTGAAGTTATTAATACAATAACATATGTCTTGAAAATCTTAAATACATAACATGTGTCATTATTTTACGACTTTATGTATTTTTTACGAGCATCTAATATAATTTGGGATTTAATTAGAAATAAGAAAAGAGTTTGCGACCCAAATTATAAAATAAAAAAAGATTAAGATTTTTTTTCCCTGGTAACCAATGGTTCGAGATATATTATAACCAGCTAACCATGAAAATTTTTTAATTAATTTTTATATTTTTTTTAATACTTAATAGTTTATTATAAATTTTTGTTCTATTTTATTCATTTATTTATTAGATTGTTGTTCAATCCTTGTTCCTTAAAACTTGATTTAGTCTCTTTTATATAAAGGTTGTCATGTGCTCGCGCGTACATTATAACTGTGATAAATATACGGTTAATTTATTTGTAGAGATGTCTGATAATATTACAAGCATCATAAAAGTAATAATAACAGTCATATAAAGTAACAATGATAATAAAAGAGTTAGAGACAAAGATGATAAAAAAGTAAACTTGATATATATTACTAAAGAAACCAAAAATCTTAGACAAATAAACAGTAAAATACTGTTTATTTATTGTTCATTTGCCTTAATTTACTATTTACTTTTATAATTTTTTACAACTTTTGTTTTTTTTTTTTTTTTTTTTTTTCAAGTTGCTCCATCTTTCCAGCTATAACTTTCCGGTGGCAGTAATGCTTAATAATAAAGCTCTAAAAGGTTCAGAATAGTTTTTACACTACTTTATTTAGAATCATGTCCCCATCGCATCGATATAAATGGCTCAGAGTAATCACAGATGGTGTTGGTTTATATTTATATCGACTTACGTACACAGGGAGAGGCAAGAATCGAGTAAGTCTAGGTTAAATGGTTGAAATTATTATTATTAAAAGTAATATTATTCATTCTTTTATAAATAAATATATAAAAATTAAATTTATATTTATATTTGTTGGAAAACTGATATTCTCATTAACATAAAAATTATTTGCTCAATTCTATGTAAACTTTTAATAAGTGTTATTTATGTTTTTCGACACAATCCTATGAAATACTAAAACTCTTTAAAAAAAATTTAATTTTTTTAATTAATAATTCATGGATTAACATGGATAAATCTTTTTTCTAAAGGAAAAATTATGAAAAATACAAATAAGAAATAGCTCAATATAAAATTTTTTATTAAAAAGTTATAAATAATTTTTTTTTTCACTTTTGATTTCATGTATTTTTATATATTCACATCATAAAATAGACTATCAAACTAAAATTATTTTTCTAAATAATTTTATATATTTTAACCAATCTACGGCATAGTGTAAGAAAAAAAATAGTATTTGCTATAAGAAGTACACTCATTGTCAATTTTTTTTAAAACCTTCGGTTATCATTAAATAAGAAGGAAGCATAAAAGCACCTTATAGTAATGAAAGTTTTCATTACAACTGCTACATGTATTCAATGGCAATATTAACATTAAGTTGCTAAATGAACTCCCATTATTACTATAAACTAAAACATATGAGGGATTTAAACAGTGAAAAATATTGTTCGCACCCTCATAAAACATTATTCATTTATGTAGCAAAGTTTTTATTTTTTATTTTTTATGTTGTTTCACTATACATCCTATTTCTTTTCTTTTCTTTTTTTTTTTTTTTAGGTTGTTACATTTTGGTCTCTAAAAATTTAAAATAAAAATTTTAATCTCTTAGCTGATACACTACATATGTCCTTTTTTCCTTTGCTTTTTTTTTGTCATCAATTTATGTTCTTTTTTTTTATTTGTTAATTTTTGTAAAAATCTATCCATTAATTATAACTTTATTTTTTAGAATACAATATTATAAAAATTATATTTTAAAATTTTTTTTATTCTTGATTAATATTTTAGTTAAAATTTTTATATTTTTTATTTTAAAATCAATATATAAAGAATATTGATTTATGTTTTTTAAACAGAAATTTTATTAAAAAAAAACATTAAAAAATTAACTTCGAGTTGTTTCACTATACATGCTTTTTATTCTTCTTCTTTCTTTCTTTTTTCCTTTGCTTTTTTTTTTGGCCATCAATCTAGGTCTTTTTTTATTTTTTTTTAATTTTTAGATTGTTTAATTTTAGTCTCTAAAATTTTAAAATAAAAATTTTAATCTCCCATTAATGCACTACACATGCCTTTTTTATTTCCTTTGATTTTTTCCTTTGCTTTTTCATATTAATTTATGTGTTTTTTTTTCATTTGTTAATTTTTGTAAAATTCTGTTCATTAATCATAACTTTATTTTTTTGGAATACAATATTATGAAAATTATATTTTAAAAATTTTTAATTCTTGATTTATATTTTAGTTAAATTTATTACATTTTTTATTTTTAAATCAATCCACAAAGAAGAATGATTTATGTTTTTTAAACAAAAAAAATTATTAAAAAATATTTAAAAAATTATAATTAAAAAAATTTTAAATGAATTTTTTCTATCGAACCCACAACGTAGAGTAGGAAAACGACTAGTTTATTCATATAACACATCTATTTATAGATGAATGTTACACATAGTTTTAGATTATAAATTTAATGAGAAATAAATACAATTAAGCATGATAATGGTGAATTGAATCTCATTAAAAAATATAAGTAGTTATGGAAATTAAAAATGATATGCACATTCATATTTCATAACACTTCTCCTTAAATATCCATACTTCGCTAAAATATTACTAAAAAAAATCTTAGTAAAGAAAATAGAGTACAACATTATTATGCATATTAATCCCAATGTTGGGCTTATCATGTTGAAAATATTATT